TCAATTCTCTCCTGGAGAACGTCTTCGTGAGCCTCTCATGATTTCAGGATAGTTGAAACCCTCTTGAGCATTCAGAGTGCATATGAAATTCTAATCACGAAAGGTGTTCCCCGAGGGGATACATACCTAGAGTTTGTTTTGTGAAGCACGCCAATTCTCTCCTGGGGAACGTCTTCGTGAGCCTCTTATGGTTTCAGGATAGTTCAAATCCTATGATGCTTCGATTCAATGCTCACCGATGATCTGAGCCATGGGGTACGTTTGTTTTCCTAAGAATCTTTTTGAACATTTCGAGAGCATATGTTTGAACATTTAGAGTGCATATGAAATTATATTTACGAAAGGTCGCCTCCGAGGGGATAAATACCTAGAGTTTGTTTTGTGAAGCTTTGTTTTGTGAAGCAAGTGTGGGTGCTTCCGGATCGGAGTGATTTCTCCCTAGAGCTTTGGAAGTCATTTGCTCCATCTAGCCTCCCCTGCATTGTCGTTTGGGGATGCAAGCTGGCATCGCTGCCTCAGAGTTTTTGTTCCTGCCTCTCGCGTTCTCTTCTCTTCCCGCTGTCCTACCTTTCGTGTCTCCCTCCTCTCAAGTGCGTTTTGTTGAGAATCCAAGGTACCGACTATGGTGATGCCGTTTGGGGCGGCTTGGTGACCTTAAAGCGACGGCTCATGTGCTGTCGCCGAAGCGGTGGAGAGCCTGACCGAGACCCACCGACACAAGCAGAGATCCAGGCGACCTGGATCTCGTTGCGCGACCGAGATTTCTTTGGAACTCAGCTGTTGATCTCAGCTGATTGAGTCTCTCGTTGCTTGAACTGCACTGTTTTTCAACGTGTGAAATGTGGATTAAACATCCTCAAATGTATAAACACGGATGCCAACAATTTGCGACACCACCTTCGTCACCTTTTGTGAGACCTGTTACTGGGACACAGGTGGGTTCAGTTGCTCTGGTTTTCTGCAGGAGCGGCTCATGTACCTGGTAGAGGCTTTGAAGGCTGGGAAGCAGTAGGTTTGAACCAGAAAATGTTTCTCACTCTGAATAATGTTTGCTTCTTACACGTGCCACCCTTCACCTCAAAACACAGGATCCACACAAAGAACGGGCCGATCTGGTGATCTCTCCAGAGTCTTTGCTGAACAAAGTAGCCTTTTGATCAAGTGCTTCAAGCTACAAGCTATACCATAGATGAAACAAGTCGTAATCCGGTTCAGTGTGCACTCAGATTCAGAATAAATAAAAAACATAGAGATTGGTTGACCTCAAAATGCTAAAGAGTGTCTTTCTATTTATACACTCGGCAGGTCACTAGATATGATGTTGTGTCCCAGCCAGCTTTTGACTTTTCTTGATACTCAGGATGTTTCGCCTTACAGCCTTTTAGACATGCCCAAGTACAAGGCTGGCCTTTGGAGTCGTCATGTGCGAACACTCAGATTCAAGTTTTCGGCTGAACACCCGCAAGGAGATCATCGATTTGGGTTACAATACTGCCCGTGTGGCATTGGGACATTGGCTGGCAGAGGCTCCGGAAAGCACTCAAGAGATCTTTGGTTGCAAAGTTGGATGTTGGTTTGATCAGGCATCCGGATGTTGCATGTAGTTTGGTCATGTGCGGTGACCCTTGAAACACCACAAGTTTACTCCCCATGCTCCAGGTATCGCAGGTTAACAAGGCTTCCTTAAATTCTGGCAAAAGGGGTACCATCACAGGTGTATAATGCATACGAAATACATACATTACATGTACAGTAGTTCTTGGGTTTTATTAATGTAGCCAGATATTGATATTACTATATGCATTCATGGGCGTGGGTAGGACAGCGATGGACTCCATTCCAGGATGTCAGTAGTAGTTGAGGACATGTCGTCGGTTTGACTTTGGGCACACCATGTCCCTTGTGGATCCTCTTGTAGGTCACCAGAGTAGGAACTCTTTGTCAGTGACTGAATCCAGTTTTGAAGGCCAGATGGCGCTCAAAACCAAGGATTATCCGAGCTGCCAGAGCAGAGGAACATGTTGCCAAGTCTTTGAATGAGGTGGAGAGGCCTGGACCGCAAAAGATGAATGTGTTGCCGAAAGGAGGCCTGAGAGTGATAGTTGGAGGAGTTCGGGCCGAGGTATTCTTGGTATGTCAATGCAAACAAAAGTATCATCAACTAGGGTTTTCACAACAGCCTTGGGAAGTGCTTTTCACGGCAGATACCTTGCATCCGCAATGTTTGTTTGTAGAGTGTGTGTGTGTGTGCGTGTGCGTGTGCGTGTGCGTGTCTATTCCGGGGTCCCCACTTCAGCTTTTCTGAAGAAAGCAATTATCGGGGACTACAATACCTTTTTCCTGTGAAGCAGCTTTGTTTTTCTGCCCTAAGGTGTATATAGATACCAAGGTACATAGATACCAGGGAGGGAGGAAGATCCTTTTCCCCACAGACAGCAAGAGCTTTCCTCCAATGCGATTCCAGATGCGGATCCAAGGTACGGTTCTCGGTTGACCTACGCCACGTGGCGCAAAAATGCTACCCGCGTCGCCCGCAAGTTGCGACTGAGCTGCACGTGGAGCACGGTGATACTAAATAGCTGGAGATGGGCCACGTAGAAAGGCACAAGCAGCAAAGTGTCCAAAGACATCAGCCTTGTTCTTTTTGTGGCGGTGAGCCAGGTAGCCAGATAGCATGGGGTACAAGTATATAAGATGGATGTAACAAAGGGATCCTAGATTCCTAGATGTTGAAAGACATTTGAAGCAGATCCGTGCAGCTGAACTGAATGATCCGGTTGCTTAGTGCTGCATATATACATACATATATATATATATATACACTATACATGCATATAAATAACTATATTATAAGCGCGGACTGATGTTCGGGCAAACGTCTTCCGCGGCTGTGCGCGGCGGAGAGAGCATCCATAGGATCGCCCAGAACACACTAAGCGGCCTCGCCAGCCCCTGGCTGTTCACAATGGGTCGATGTCTAGTGAACTCATCCAAAACAGACAAAACCGAACCCTCAACACTGAAATTGAAAGGCTACGCCAAACGAACCGCACCACCGCTACTGTGAACTCGGACACAAGACAAATCAACCCAAGCTACCGGGTACTCTATGCTAAGGAGCCTACACAAGATTTGCCAGGCTTTCTTCAAAAGCTTGAGCTCCTATGAAAAGGTGACCTGCAAGCACGGATTAGGAGGATCAGAAGAACCCAAACTGACCAGATCACAACCAACAAGAGCGCTCAAACCAATCGCAATCTCAACAAAGGAAACCCATCCAACCGATCCTCCTTCTCCCTCAAGGCACTAACAAATAAAATCAAAAAGGGCCTCAGAATGTCTTGACCTGTGGCCGGGCAGATCAATCCAACCTGGAATTCGATCACATGCAGCCAGGGTGAATGTTTCTATACAGTCTGTCCGCTCTCTCGAAACAACGAATTCCTCAACCGGCTCACTGTTTGGCTTTCCTTCACGGCATGAAGACAAATCGATGCGTGCCACTTCCGAGTGAACTTTACTGATCTGACGGAAGATCTCGTCATCAGCATGCCATCTTGCAGCAAATCTTTGGTAGACGCCAGCGAACCAATTAGGCCTATTTGCATTGGTCCAACGAGCCGCAGTGTCAGTGCGGTCGTTGTAGTAGGCACGCCAACTTTCAAGTTCAGAGTGGCAGCTGTCCTGGTCTGTGTGACTGGGTGTTTTGTGAAGCCAAAGGTTGCATCCACAGTGGCTGATTTCAAGTTCAACTTGCTGCCAAAGGTCCTCATGTTCGATTCCATCAGGCAGGATTCCTCCACTAACCAATCCCCTATATACCAACTTCGACAACACCCTGGTTGTCAATCCAGATGTGACCATCGTTCATTGGACAGCCATCGAACCGCAGCTAGAAGAGCAAGGGTTTCTGCACGGGGAACGTTCTGGTTTAGACCCGGTGTCCAGCCAGCGCTAACAACCTCGTCCTCATCGACTGAGACGACTGCCCATGCACTAAGGGCCAGCTCCTTGTTCTGCTGGTTGCTTTCACTGCCGTCGGTGAACAACATCCAGCAACCAGAAGCTCGAGGAGGGAATCTGAACTCAAAATCGTACGCACGTAAAGCAAAAAGCGCTTGCCAATACAGGGGCTTGAAAGGATTCGCACTCGTCAGGCCGTGCAGCGCCACTGATTTGGCAGATCTTAAAAATGCTCCCGTGATTTCGGACGAGTCAGAAAGCGATGCTCACGGGTGTCTTCAACCTTGCAAATGTCGCACAACTTAGATTCAGAACTGAAGTGGGCAATACAGTCCTTGGTGAAGTTGCTGCCATCACGGACAATGCAAAGAGCCCTCGGAATCGGCTCGTGTCAAGACCTTGTCCAGCAGTTCAATGTGGGAAGCTTCACAGCCATCCAGGTCTGCCAGACTTCTGTGCTTCTGCATATGACTCACAACTTTCTGACGCCAG